TTACATCTGGGTTCACTTCTTGTGCTCTTTCCCTTAGTTCACTTGCCTTGCTTGTGATCCCATCTATGTTCGAGTACATTGCCCTGAAACTAACTCTCTTCTGCTTCTCCTCTGGGGGGGACCTGTGGGGTCTGGGGTGAGCGGGAGCTGGGAGGATCTGGTATGGGGAGACTGGTGGAGGAGGAAGGGCTTGGGGGGTAGGGGGGAGGGGGAGGGTAGGGGGAGTGGGTGAGGGGGGGGTGAGGGGGGGGGAGGGGGAGGGGGTGAGGGGGGGGGGGGGGTTGGGGGGGGGGAGGGTGAGAGGGGGAGGGTTGGGGGGGGGGGGGGATGGGGGAGAAAGGGGGGTTTGGGGGGGCAATAAAGTGGGGAGGGCTTGGGGGGCGTGGGGGGAAAGGGAAGGCTGAGGTGGTTGAGGAAGAGGGGAGGGTTTTGGGGAGTGGTGGAGAGGGGAAGGCTTAGGTGGGGTGGGGGAGAGTGGGGAGCTAGGGGGGTGGGGGAGAATGGAGGGCTTGTGGGTGGGAGGGACGGAAGGGCATGTGGGAGAAGGGAGGGCTTGGGGGATGGGGGAGAAGGGAGGTCCTGGGGGGAGGGGGGAGTGGGAGGAGGGGGGTGAGTGGGAGGAGAGGGGTGGGTGGGGGGAGGGTGCCTTAGGTGGGTACTTAGTGGGGGGCTGACAGGGGTTGGGGCAGGTAGGGTGTCTGTTGGGTGGAATGTGGGGGTGGTGCCGCACTCCCTGTGGCTAATGCACTGTTTGAGGAGGGTTCCCCATTCCCCTCTGGGATTGTAGGGATCGGGGGTGTGGCTCCCTGATTCCTTTCTCTCTCCCTGCGCTCCTTCCTCGCGTCTGCTGCCTGCATTCTCTCTTCCCTTGTCATATCCCTCTGCAAGAATACTCTTTTGAACTTCTCTACACCTACTAGACAGCACTTCCTTTCTAATAGTTCCTCTTTCGCGATTTCGCTCATGAAAACCACCTTTATCATTCGGTCTCTGTCCTTGTTGTACTTTCCAAGCCTGAAAACCTTTTCAACATTTTGCTCAGCTCCCTCCATCCTTACCTCTTTAAGGATCTCTTTAATCATGTTTTTGTCCTTGTCTCTCCGCTCCTTTGGTCTGGTCCCTGTTTGCTCCTTAATGCCTGCTACTACTACTGCTCTATTTCTCTCTATCAGCCGGCTAGTACATCTAGCCGCTTCCTGAGAGGAAGCCACTTCCATGGCAACTTCCTTAACTGCAGACCTAGCTTCAGGGCTCGTTTTAAGTATTTCAGCAAATGAGAGCTGAGGTGTGGAGGTCCCCTCCACAGTAGCATTCCTGTCTCCCTGAGGCACGGTTTGTGTCTGGTATTGTGGAGAAGTCTCCTTCAGGCTTCTTATCTCCTCCTTTGCTGCCCTTAGTTCATCCTGCAGGTTGGCAACTGTCTCCCTCATTACCCTCAGTCCTTCACTGAATTCATCCCACATTTGCTGGAATACTCCCTTCATCCAGGCTTCCTGTTCCACCCCTTCCTCTGAATTTGTTCCAGCCGCGATTGACATCCTGCGTGCGTAAGCCCGAGTTCGTGTCCCTTCCATGTTTTGCCCGAGAGAGAGAGAGAGAGAGAGAGAGAGAGAGAGAGAGAGAGAGAGAGAGAGAGAGAGAGAGAGAGAGAGAGAGAGAGAGAGAGAGAGAGAGAGAGAGAGAGAGAGAGAGAGAGAGAGAGAGAGAGAGAGAGAGAGAGAGAGAGAGAGAGAGAGAGAGAGAGAGAGAGAGAGAGAGAGAGAGAGAGAGAGAGAGAGAGAGAGAGAGAGAGAGAGAGAGAGAGAGAGAGAGAGAGAGAGAGAGAGAGAGAGAGAGAGAGAGGCAACGACGTCAACCTATTCGTCCACACCATCAACCGGCTGCTCACCGCAAATGGATTACCGACGGTGACGGTACCTGGTGACCTCGCAGCTACTGCACCAACGGCCGGCCCGGCGCCCGGCCCACAACTAGTCCGGTAACAGGGATGCTACATCCTTTCTGCCCATGCAAACGAAGACATATCCGAAGACGACGACGGACCACCAGAAACGCCTACAACCAACACCAGGAGACTCCAGAGCTACCACCGACGTCGACGAGAATTGCCTCGCGACCAACGACGAAGACAAAAGTACTTGCCATGTGGTTTTAACTTCGCCCTGTGAATTCAATGGCAACGCAAACAAAAAAATCAGACGGAACAAATACCCGCACCCCATGTATGTCCACACCATGAACCCCTACACTGACCTCATCATATTGAAGCAAGAATACCGCGACCCAGACTTCCACGGAAAATTCTCAAACAAATGTAATTTCTCGAAAAGGACGACGATCCTGATTGTACCAAACTACAGAGGTTGTACTGTTCAAGTATAAAGCGTCGATTTGCATATTAAACTGCGACCAACTCTCCTGTGGGCCATAAACTGCGAGCGACCATGAAGACCCCATCCTTCCACAGATCTCAAGTATCAGCTATTGGTTCTGGTGATGGCTCCAATGTGCCTCCGCTTACGGGCTGTTCATGCGCGTACCACCTTTTGGGTGGCTTAATCTTTATCAATCAATCAGCTTCAATTTCGACACAGATCAGACATCAGACTCCGATGCGGACTCCGACCGCATCCAGCTTTCACACTCTCGTTCCCAACTGCACTCCCACGCTTTCGGCCTTATCAAGTTTCCATGCTTCCCATCAAGCAGCCACACTCTCGTCCGGCATCGAGCTCCGCGACTTTGGCCGCACTCGGCTCTCTGCTCTGCTCCAAGCTCCGTCTCGACGTCTACGACACTGCCAACAACCGACTACTGTAACCAAGACTACTAAGTAAATATGAAACCCCACTAACACTGTGTATCTAATCTACCCAACAACGTAATATAATCGTACGTTATTGAATTATTATTATTATTTTATGTGAATTATTTTCTCCCTTATGATTCTTTCCATGAGCTTGCAGATGTGTAATGTCAAGTTGTATGTACTTTACCCAAATAAACATTTGATTTGATTTTGATTTTATTTGAAGTTGATCGGATCGAAGTTTTCTGTTGAGCTTTTTTGAAAATACGGGTGAGTATTCAATATGGTCTCCTTCAGCGTCCTCGGCAGCCAGCACATCTGCTCGAGTAAAGTTATGGAAATGGGATTAGATGACAGGAGACCTAAGGGTCAGTACACAATGAAGGGAAACTGTCTCCCTGTGACGATTCGAGAAAGGGACTTGGGAGTGGACGTAACACCAAATCTAACTCCTGAGGCACATAAAAATCAGATAATGACAGCAATATATTATACGCAAGCAAAAGTTAGAACATCATTCAGAAGCCTAAGTAAGGAGGCATTCAGAGCACTTTACACTGCATATGTGAGATCACTCTTATGCGGCCCCATCATGGAGCCCCCACCTAAAGAAGCATATTGGGAAACTGGGAAAGCTTAAAAAAAATGCGACGAGGCTAGTCGTGGAGTTGCATGGGATGGGATACGAAGAGCAGCTGAAGGAACTGGAACGCTGACGACGTCAGAAACGCTGACGACGTTAGAAAAAGGGAGGAAGCGGGGAGATACGATAGCAGCTTACAAACTACTTGATTGGGGGATTGACAGAGTGGAAAAGACGAAATGTTCACTCGGAATACCAACAGAACGAGGGGACATGGGTGGAAGCTGGAAATTCGGATGAGTCACACAGATGTTAAAAAGTTTTCTTTAGCGTGAGAGTAGTGGGGAAAATGAAATGAACTAAAGGAGCACATCGTGGAAGCAAACACTATTCATAGCTTTAAAAGTAGGTATGATAGAGAAGGAGGACAGGAGCTGGAATCATTGCTTTAAATAACCGAAGGCTAGAAAGGCGGGATCCAAGCAAGCACAAATAGGTGAGTATACACACACACACACACACACACACACACACACACACACACACACACACACACACACACACACACACACACACACACACACACAGACGTTAGAAAGAATTTTTTCAGTGTCAGAGTAGTTAATAAATGGAATGCTCTAGGAAGTGATGTGGTGGAGGCTGACTCCATACACAGTTTCAAATGTAGATATGATAGAGCCCAGTAGGCTCAGGAACCTGTACACCAGTTGATTGACAGTTGAGAGGCGGGACCAAAGAGACAAAGCTCAACCCCCGCAAGCACAATTAGGTGAGTACATACACACACACACACACGGGGGCCTCGTAGCCTGGTGGATAGCGCGCAGGACTCTTAATTCTGTGGCGCGGGTTCGATTCCCGCACGAGGCAGAAACAAATGGGCAAAGTTTCTTTCACCCTAAGTGCCCCTGCTACCTAGCAGTAAATAGGTACCTGGGAGTTAGTCAGCTGTCACGGGCTGCTTCCTGGGGTGTGTGTGTGTGTGGGGTGGGAAAAAAAAAAAAAAGTAGTTAGTAAACAGTTGATTGACAGTTGAGAGGCGGGCCGAAAGAGCAAAGCTCAACCCCCCGCAAAAACACAACTAGTAAACACACACACACAGGATGTATCCCGCAGCAGCTGGGTAGCTCCCATAGGTACTTATTTGCTGCTAGGTGAACAGGTGCATCAGGTGAAAGAAACTGCCCATTTCTTATTGCCTTGACCAGGAATCAATCAAACCGGATCCTTTGAACTACGACCCCACAGTGATGTGCGCTCTGCCGCGAGGATAAAGGTGGTGGGGGGGGGGGGGGGGGAGGGGTGGAGGGAACCACGTGACTGACATCATGGATCAGTTACATGAGTACCTGTTTCATGGTCTTAAGTTCGAATCTGTTACTGTTCAGACACACGGGAGCTTTATCTGAGTGAGGAAGAAGTGCTCTCATGTAATTGCCCGAAACGCTACGCATACTAGTGCCTTTAGGTATTGTATGTACTAGCTTTTTCTTTCAATCCAACATTATGTTTGTAACTCATCTGAAATGTATGAACCTGTCCTAAATAAAGAATCTGAATCTGGTTGTAAGATGTCATGCTTTGCAGTGGCTGGGACCACGTGTCACTATGGAGAGGGCCGGGTAGCGCTGGTGACCGGGGCTGCTCGACGAGTGGGGCGAGTCATCGCTGCAGCTCTCCATAAACACGGCTTCAACGTTGTTATACACTGCAACGCCTCGAAGGAGCTCGCCCTCCAGTTTGCTTCCGAGCTGAACAGGTAAGCGGTACATGCATGCTTTCAGGATGGGAACACCTGCTTTATGCGTCAGCTTCGAGGATCCTCACCGAGGAAGAATTTATATATTAAATATTTTACATTATTTAATAAGGTGTGTAACAAAGAGTGAGTATAATTGTATGTGAGTTTTAGTTTAGTTCATTTATTATGCGCCCCATACCCATCTTGTGGGCGGTGGTGGAAAGGGTTACAGAGGCACATAATGGGCTCAGGGACTGAACCCCACAATTCATTTAGCTAAGCAAGTTACAATCTTGATGAGCTACTTACAAAATTCAGTATAAGTCGTCACATCAACAATGGGTTCGAGATCGACCACAAGTACAGGTTCTAAATTAAGCAACTGACATATGTGGAGAGCTAGTGTCACAATTGATATGTTTGTCCTGCACACCGCCCCCCATCCAGTGGGCAGCGGTGGATAGGTTACAATCACTTAGTTACTACCTACAGTTAGCAAACTGGGGATATTTGGCTAAAGTTTCTGGTAGCAGATCATTTTGTATGTGAGGAACACGATTCTACGGTGCTAGTGTAAATGTGTTTTACCACACAGTACCCGGAAGGACAGCGCTCACGTCATAACGGGCGACCTTTCCAAGGATGTTGTGGCCACCTCACAGCGAATGGTGATGGAGGCGGTGGAGAAGTGGGGCCGGCTCGACCTCCTCGTCAACTCCGCCGGCGACTTCTTTAATACTAACCTAGACGGCGCCTCTGAGCAAGACTGGGATAAGTTGATGAACATAAATGCGAAGGCACCGTACTTCCTCATCCAGGTATTGACCAAGCCAGTGTGTCCTCACTCTTACATGTGTTCTCACTAGTCATCAGCAGTTGTATATCCTCCTCCAGTCGTGAGCTGTGTGATGTTTGCTTGGGTAATATATTCATTCAGTAATCCTTAGTTATGCTTACGTTATGTAATGTCTACCAGAGGCACGTACGAGGCTACTGGATGTATGCATGACTTTCATCACTTGAGGCTTTACTATAGAAATGTATGAGAATCAGGTTTCCAGATAAATCCAAATAATTACCAAGATTTGACATATTTTATATTCATATTATCTAATAATTAAATTTAATTTCTTTATTATGCACCCCATACCCATCCCGTGGGCACACAGCCCTTCTGTTTAAGTCCCCAATCATGCCAAACATGCACTTACTCCACACATTCTCTTGTGCTATCTACATGTATTAAACTTTTTTCCTAAATGCTAATCTTGATCTGAAACTTTTCCTTGATAGGTGTAATGAGCACCACACCAGAAATATATATATCTTTGATATCCCCAGAGTTAAACTAAATCTGTGTAAACACTCCATGTAATAAAAGGACTTAGTCTATGGAACTCACTCCCTGAAGAATTAAAAAAAATTCAACCTCTGCCTTATTCAAAAGTAAAACCAAAACTACTTAATTTCATCCTCATAGCTCGTGCTTCAAACTCAAACTGTAGCTTGTACTACTCACTTTCCCAATATTAGCACTTAAGATATATATCTTCAAAGGTGTAGTCACCTCTCACAATTTATTTTGTAGTTATTTGTTATAAAACCTTGCTACAATGTACCTTTTCATCTTACCGGATAGGTTAAGGACCTGGCGGAAACGCTATACGTGTTAGTGGCTTCGCAAGAATGTAAAAATATCACTCTAGTGTAATCTCACCAACCCATTATACTGTCTCGTGAATAAATGATTATTATTATTGAATGTGTAGTCTCTGACACACCCACACTCCATATAGGTAACGTGTAGCCCCTGACACACACCATGTAGGTAATGTGTAGCCCCCGACACATACACCATGTAGGTAACGTGTAGCCCTTGACACACCATGTAGGCAACGCATAACTTGCGATATTGTCAGCTATAGCAGCAAGTGTTGTGTGTGTTGAGGAGGTAAGACTGTTGACGGAGTGTTGGTCCCACAGGCAGCGGCGCCTCACCTGAGGAAGGTCCAGGGCAGCGTGGTGAATGTGGCCGACATCCTTGGTGAGCGGCCCAGCGGTCCCCTCAACATCTACTGCGTCACCAAGGCCGCTCTTATTATGATCACCAAGAGTCTGGCGATAGAACTCGGGCCGGAGGTAAGGTGATCCCCTGCTTTAAACTTCTTGTGATAACGAATTTGCTTGTATGATGAGTAGATGAAGCAAATTATGAAGGAACATGAACACACACACACACACACAACAAAAACTGCTCCACAGTCACATGAGGAGGAAAACAACAATGAAAGAACAGGTGATGAAACTGAGAATGGGCGAGAACAGGTGCAGAGAACGACAAAGAGGTGTGTGAAGAACTCAGAGATTCCAGGAGGTCTTTACAAAAGAACGAGGAAAAGTCTCTGAACTAGGAGAGATTGCAAAAAAAAAAAAAAACAGGCAGCCTTGGAATGGTTAGAAATTACCAGAGATGAGGTTAAAAGGTATCTATTTTATTTATTTGTATTTATTTATACATACAAGAGTTCTTACATTCTTGTACAGCTAGCACGCATAGCATTTCGGGCAAATCCTCAATCTTATGTTCCTTGGAATACGACCCTGCCAAATTGTTTAACAACCATGTACCTATTTCACTGTTAGGTAAACAGAGGTTACAGTTAAGGATTGACGCCCAGTAAATCCTCCCCGGCCAGGATATGAACCCAGGACAAAGCGCTTGAGAAACACTAGGCGAGTATCTTAATTAATTACCACTACACCACGGAGAACCGTGCCTGTTGGATTGGGACGTGAAAAAGCCTGTTGGACCAAACGAAATCTCACCATGGGTACTGAAAGAGTGTGCAGAAGCACTTTGCTTGCCACTCTCCATTGTGTATAGTAATTAAGTCACTGGAGATAGGAGACCTACCAGAAATATGGAAGACCGCTAAAGTAGTCCCAATATTCAAAAAAGGGCGACAGGCAAGAGGCACTGAACTACAGGTCAGTGTCCCAAACTTGTACACCATGCAAGGTGATGGAGAAGATCGTGAAAAAAAGCCTAGTAGCACATCTGGAGACAAGGGACTTCGTGACACACCACCATTATGAGTTCAGGGATGTCAAATCTTGTCTCACAGGTTTATTCTATGACCAGGTGACAAAGATTAAGCAACAAAGACATGGGTGGCAGATTGCTTTTTCTTGGACTGCCAGAAAGCCTTTGACACAGGACCCCAAAAGAGGCTAGTGCATAAGTTGGAGAAACAGGCAAGAGTAACTGTTAGGGTGTTCCAGTAGATAAGGGAGTATTTAAGCAATAGGAAGCAGAGTTATTGTGAGGGGTGAGACCTCAGAATGGTGTGATGTCACTAGCGGAGTCCCACAGGGTTCTTTCTGAACACGGTCCTGTCTGTTTCTGTTTCTGATATACGTAAATGATCTTCCAGAGGGTATGGACTCATTCCTCTCACTGTTTGTTTATGATACCAAAAATATAAGAATTAAGGCAGAGGACAGCATGAGGCTTCAAGATGACGTGGACAAACTCATCGAATGGTCCAACAAATGGCTGTTAAAGTTTTAACACGAACAAATATAAAGTGATGAAAATGGATGTAGAGAGCAGAAGACCAGACAAAAGGTACCATTTGGGAGATGAAATTCTTCAAGAATCAGGGGTGAGAAAGATCTAGGGGTTGATATCATGCCAGACCTGTTCCCTGAAGCCCATATCAATAATTCAATGATATCATCAGTGGCATATGCTAGGTTGACCAACATAAGAATGGTCTTTAGAAACTTGAGTAAGGAATCATTCAGAACCTTGTATTTACCTGAGAGATTTCCTGAGAGCCACTAACACCAGTTGCCTCGACGAGGACAGGAAGCCGGCGGCTTGTAGAAGATCCCCTCCATTTGAGTTGATAATCTTTTCCAGCTATACTTTAAAAGTTAAAGTTAAAAGTGGCATTGACGGAATCGGCGGGTAGGTGGTTCCATGGGTTAATAATCCTATGGGTGAAAAAGCATCTCCTGTTCTCAGTCCTACATTGTGCTTGTTGAGTTTGAAACCGTTGCTCCTTGTTTGTGTTACATCTGACCTTTTGAAGAAAATTTCCGGATCAACATCCTCCAAATTGTTCAGTATTTATAATTTCAATAAGATCCGCTCTGTCATGCCGGGGTTTGCAGTCTTGTTAGCCCTGTGATCCTCAACCGTTCATGATACGTGAGTTGACTTAGCTCTAGAATGATTTTTGTTGCCCGGTGTTGCACTTTCTCCAGGGCAGCTATATCCTTCTGAAGATGAGGTCTCCATGCTTGGATACAGTAATCCAAATGCAGTCCCAGAGATTCATAGTATTGAATCACAACCTTCTTTTCATTGATGTCGAAGGTACGCTTGATTATTCCAAGTGTTTGGTAAGCTTTTTTAACTGCTGCTCCTGCCTGCTGTGCCCACCACCGACCCAGTCATGCCCCTGGCCGTCCCCACCACCACTGACCCAGTCATGCCCCTGGCCGTCCCCACCACCGACACAGTCATGCCCCTGGTCTTCTCCACCACCGTCCCAGTCATGCCCCTGTCCGTCCCCCACCACCGACACAGTCATGCCACTGGCCGTCTCCACCACCGACACAGTCATGCCCCTGGCCGTCCCCCACCACCGACACAGTCATGCCCCTGGCCGTCTCCACCACCGACACAGTCATGCCCCTGGCCGTCCCCCACCACCGACACAGTCATGCCCCTGGCCGTCCCCACCACCACTGACCCAGTCATGCCACTGGCCGTCTCCACCACCGATACAGTCATGCCCCTGGCCGTCCCCACCACCGACACAGTCATGCCCCTGGCCGTCTCCATCACCGACCCAGTCATGCCCCTGGCCGTCTCCACCACCGACACAGTCATGCCCCTGGCCGTCTCCATCACCAACCCAGTCATGCCCCTGGCCGTCCCCCACCACCGACACAGTCATGCCCCTGGCCGTCCCCCACCACCGACACAGTCATGCCCCTGGCCGTCTCCATCACCAACCCAGTCATGCCCCTGGCCGTCCCCCACCACCGACCCAGTCATGCCCCTGGCCGTCCCCATCACCACTGACCCAGTCATGCCCCTGGCCGTCTCCATCACCAACCCAGTCATGCCCCTGGCCGTCCCCCACCACCGACACAGTCATGCCCCTGGCCGTCTCCACCACCGACACAGTCATGCCCCTGGCCGTCCCCCACCACCGACACAGTCATGCCCCTGGCCGTCCCCCACCACCGACCCAGTCATGCCCCTGGCCGTCTCCACCACCGACCCAGTCATGCCCCTGGCCGTCCCCCACCACCGACACAGTCATGCCCCTGGCCGTCTCCATCACCGACCCAGTCATGCCCCTGGCCGTCCCCACCACCGACCCAGTCATGCCCCTGGCCGTCCCCCACCACCGACCCAGTCATGCCCCTGGCCGTCTCCATCACCGACCCAGTCATGCCCCTGGCCGTCCCCACCACCACTGACCCAGTCATGCCCCTGGCCGTCCCCATCACCACTGACCCAGTCATGCCCCTGGCCGTCCACCGACACAGTCATGCCCCTAGCCGTCTCCACCACCGACCCAGTCATGCCCCTGGCCGTCTCCATCACCGACCCAGTCATGCCCCTGGCCGTCCACCGACACAGTCATGCCCCTGGCCGTCCCCCACCACCGACCCAGTCATGCCCCTGGCCGTCTCCACCACCGACCAGTCATGCCCCTGGCCGTCCCCACCACCGACACAGTCATGCCCCTGGCCGTCCCCCACCACCGACCCAGTCATGCCCCTGGCCGTCCCCCACCACCGACCCAGTCATGCCCCTGGCCGTCTCCACCACCGACCCAGTCATGCCCCTAGCCGTCTCCACCACCGACCCAGTCATGCCCCTGGCCGTCCCCCACCACCGACCCAGTCATGCCCCTGGCCGTCCCCACCACCGACACAGTCATGCCCCTGGCCGTCCCCCACCACCGACCCAGTCATGCCCCTGGCCGTCTCCACCACCGACCCAGTCATGCCCCTGGCCGTCCCCCACCACCGACCCAGTCATGCCCCTGGCCGTCCCCCACCACCGACCCAGTCATGCCCCTGGCCGTCCCCACCACCGACACAGTCATGCCCCTGGCCGTCCCCCACCACCGACCCAGTCATGCCCCGGGCCGTCCCCCACCACCGACCCAGTCATGCCCCTGGCCGTCTCCACCACCGACCCAGTCATGCCCCTGGCCGTCCCCCACCACCGACCCAGTCATGCCCCTGGCCGTCTCCACCACCGACCCAGTCATGCCCCTGGCCGTCTCCATCACCGACCCAGTCATGCCCCTGGCCGTCCCCACCACCACTGACCCAGTCATGCCCCTGGCCGTCCCCATCACCACTGACCCAGTCATGCCCCTGGCCGTCCACCGACACAGTCATGCCCCTGGCCGTCCCCCACCACCGACCCAGTCATGCCCCTGGCCGTCCCCCACCACCGACCCAGTCATGCCCCTGGCCGTCCCCCACCACCGACACAGTCATGCCCCTGGCCGTCCCCCACCACCGACCCAGTCATGCCCCTGGCCGTCCCCCACCACCGACACAGTCATGCCCCTGGCCGTCCCCCACCACCGACACAGTCATGCCCCTGGCCGTCCTCCACCACCGACCCAGTCATGCCCCTGGCCGTCCCCACCACCGACCCAGTCATGCCCCTGGCCGTCCCCCACCACCGACCCAGTCATGCCCCTGGCCGTCTCCACCACCGACCCAGTCATGCCCCTGGCCGTCCCCACCACCGACACAGTCATGCCCCTGGTCTTCTCCACCACCGACACAGTCATGCCCCTGGCCGTCCCCCACCGCCGACACAGTCATGCCCCTGGCCGTCCCCCACCACCGACCCAGTCATGCCCCTGGCCGTCCCCACCACCGACACAGTCATGCCCCTGGCCGTCCCCCACCACCGACCCAGTCATGCCCCTGGCCGTCCCCACCACCGACACAGTCATGCCCCTGGTCTTCTCCACCACCGACCCAGTCATGCCCCTGGCCGTCCCCCACCGCCGACACAGTCATGCCCCTGGCCGTCCCCCACCACCGACCCAGTCATGCCCCTGGCCGTCCCCACCACTGACCCAGTCATGCCCCTGGCCGTCCCCACCACCGACACAGTCATGCCCCTGGCCGTCCCCCACCACCGACCCAGTCATGCCCCTGGCCGTCCCCCACCACCGACCCAGTCATGCCCCTGGCCGTCCCCCACCACCGACCCAGTCATGCCCCTGGCCGTCCCCACCACCGACACAGTCATGCCCCTGGCCGTCCCCCACCACCGACCCAGTCATGCCCCTGGCCGTACCATCACAGATCTAGTAACAACCAATGGTGCACCAGGTGTGACCAGTGACAACCAATGGTGCACCAGGTGTGACCAGTGACAACCAATGGTGCACCAGCAGTGACCAGTGACAACCAATGGTGCACCAGGTGTGACCAGTGACAACCAATGGTGCACCAGGTGTGACCAGTGACAACCAATGGTGCACCAGGTGTGACCAGTGACAACCAATGGTGTACCAGGTGTGACCAGTGACAACCAATGGTGCACCAGCAGTGACCAGTGACAACCAATGGTGCACCAGGTGTGACCAGTGACAACCAATGGTGCACCAGGTGTGTCCAGTGACAACCAATGGTGCACCAGCAGTGACCAGTGACAACCAATGGTGCACCAGGTGTGACCAGTGACAACCAATGGTGCACCAGGTGTGACCAGTGACAAGCAATGGTGCACCAGGTGTGACCAGTAACAACCAATGGTGCACCAGGTGTGACCAGTGACAACCAATGGTGCACCAGGTGTGACCAGTGACAACCAATGGTGCACCAGGTGTGACCAGTGACAACCAATGGTGCACCAGGTGTGACTAGTGACAAGCAATGGTGCACCAGGTGTGACCAGTAACAACCAATGGTGCACCAGGTGTGACCAGTGACAACCAATGGTGCACCAGGTGTGACTAGTGACAAGCAATGGTGTCATCGCATGGCTTTATTCCAACAACAACAACCACCAATGACGTCACAGGTACACGTTACATATTAATCTCTATTTACAATGTTTATAAACAAAAGAGTATCAGCTCAAAACACCTAACCTCTGTAGTACTCAATCCTACAAAATACCTTAATAATCGTAACGAGTGGTGTGTCAGGTGTGACTGAGAGTGTAACCATTACAGGTGCGCATCAACGCCGTCAACCCCGGGGCAGCCATGTGGCCGGAAACTGCCGACGACAACTTCAAGAAGGTGAGTCGATAAGGCTTGTCAACCGTACGTTGATTTTGATAATCTCATTCAAAGAAGTGATATATATATATCACTATCACTATATATATCTCTATCTATATATCAATCCATTAATGTAACATCACTTGTATGTATATACCTTACCTGAATAAACATCTGAATCTGAATCTATATATATATATATATATATATATATATATATATATATATATATATATATATAATATATATATATATATATAATATATATATATATATATATATATATATATATATATATATATATATATATATATATATATATATATATATATATATGTCGTACCTAGTAGCCAGAACGCACTTCTCGGCCTACTATGCAAGGCCCGATTTGCCTAATAAGCCAAGTATTCCTGAAATAATATATTTTCTCTAATTTTTTCTTGTGAAATGATAAAGCTACCCATTTCATTACGTATGAGGTAAATTTTTTTTATTGGAGTTAAAATTAACGTAGATATATGACCGAACCTAACCAACCCTACCTAACCTAGCCTATCTTTATAGGTTAGGTTAGGTTAGGTAGCCGAAAAAGTTAGGTTAGGTTAGGTTAGGTAGGTTAGGTAGTCGAAAAACAATTAATTCATGAAAACTTGGCTTATTAGGCAAATTGGGCCTTGCATAGTAGGCATAGAAGTGCATTCTGGCTACTAGGTACGACATATATATATATATATATATATATATATATATATATATATATATATATATATATATATATATATATATATATATATATATATATATATATATATATATATATATATATATATATATATATATATATATATATATATATATATATATATTATATATATATATATTATATATATATATATATATATATATATATATATATATATATATATATATATATATATATATATATATATATATATATATATATATATATATATATATATATATATATATATATATATATATATATATATATATATATATATATATATATATATATATATATATATATATATATATATATATATATATATATATATATATATATATATATATATATATATATATATATATATATATATATATTATATATATATATATATATATATATATATATATATATATATATATATATATATATATATATATATATATATTATATATATATATATATATATATATATATATATATATATATATATATATATATATATATAGCTGAAAAAAAAACTCGGGGAAGCAACCACAGGGAGACAGACATGGGAGGGACAAACTCAGAGGATGGGGTGGAACAAGAAACCTGGATTAAGGGAATATTCCAGCAAATGTGGGATGAATTCAGTGAAGGACTGAGGGTAATGAGGGAGACATTAACCAACCTGCAGGATGAACTAAGGGCAGCAAAGGAGGAGATAAGAAGCTTGAAGGAGACTCCCCCCCCCCCCAATACCAGACACAAACTGTACCTCAGGGAGATGGGAATACTACTGTTGAAGGGACTTCTACAACACAACCCTCTTTTGCAGAACTGCTTAAAAAGAGCCCTGAAGCTAGGTCTGCAGTTAGGGAACTCTTGCTTTTTTAGAATATCTGGAAAGGTTTGGAGTTCAAGAGGAACATAAGGAAACACAAGAGGTTCATAAGGAAAGAGAGGGAGGGAAGGGGAGGAGGTGGTGACCTTACTAATGAGAAGGGAATGGAGTTTCAAGGAGATGGTCATCCCTGGCTGTGAGGGATTCAGAGACTACATAAGACACCATGACAATGGGAGGACCAAAAGTAGTAGTAGCAGTGATATATAATCCTCCACCAAATGACAGAAGACCAAGGCAAGAGTATGACAACAACAACACGGCAGTTAACACTATAATTGAGAGGGCAGCCTCTGCTGCCTGTAGAAATAGATTCCCATCTGCTCGTCATAGGAGACTTCAATCACGGAAGGATAAACTGGGAGAACAAGGAACCGCATGGAGGAGAGGATACATGGAGAGCCAAACTAATGGAGGTGGCGACAAGAAACTTTCTAAGCCAACATGTCAGGGAGCCCACTAGGATGAGGGGAAATGATGAACCAGCGAGACTCGACCTAGTCGTCAATCTGAACGACTCTGACATAAGGGAAATGGGTTTTGGGCCCTAGTAGGAATGAGCGACCACAGTACACTGGTGTTTGAGTATCTGGTTGAAGAAGGGTTATTGAACTCGAGGAGGGGTACTGAAAACAAAAGGCTGATATTCCGTAAGGGAAACTATGAGGAGATAAGAAGATTCCTAACAGATATAACATGGGAAACAGAGCTCAGGGGAAAGACGGCCCAAGACATGATGGACTACATCACGCAGAAATCCAAGGAGGCAGTAAACAAGTTTGTCCCAGCCCAAAATGAAGATGAGAAACCCATGGTTTAATCAGAGATGTATTATAGCTAAGTAGCAAAGTAAAAGGGTGTGGAGAAACTATAGGAATAATAAGACACTGGAGAGCAGAGAAAGATACCAGAATGCTAGGAATGAATATGTCAGGATGAGAAGAGAGGTAGAAAGACAAAAATGACATCGCAAGCAAGGCAAAGACTCAACCTAAATTGCTGCACAGCCACATCAGGAGAAAAACAACAGTAAAGGAACAGGTAATGAAATTAAGGATAGGGACAGAATTCACTACAAATGACAAGGAAGTGTGTGAGGAACTGAATAAGAAATTCCAGGAGGTCTTCGCCTTAGAGCAAGGAGAAATTCCAGAGATAAGAGAGGGAATAGTTAACCAGGAACCACTGGAAGAGTTTGAGATTACCAGTGGAGAAGTAAGGAAGTGTTTACTAGAGTTGGATGTGACAAAGGCTATAGGCCCAGATGGAATCTCCCCTTGGATACTAAAGGAAGGAGCAGAAGCACTGTGTTTGTCACCCACCGTAGTGTATAACATATCGCTGGCAACAGGGAAACTGCCAGAAATTTGGAAAGCAGCTAATGTAGTCCTGATATATAAGAAAGGGGATAGAAAGGAGGCATTGAACTACAGGCCAGTGTCCCTAACCTGCATACCATGCAAGCTGATGGAGAAGATTGTGCGAAGAAAGCTAGTGGAACATTTGGAGCGAAGGAACTTTGTAACACAGCATCAACATGGGTTCTGGGATGGCAAGTCCTGCCTCACAGGGTTAATTGAATTCTACGACCAGGCAACAAAAATCAGGCAAGAAAGACAGAGATGGGCAGACTGCATATTTTTGGATTGCCAGAAAGCTTTTGATACAGTACCACACAAGAGGCTAGTGAAAAAGCTGGAGATGCAGGTTGGAGTGAAAGGGAAGGTACTCCATTGGATAAGAGAGTACCTAAGCAACAGAAGACAACGAGTCACTCTGAGGGGTGAGGTCTCAGATTGGCGAGACATCACAAGTGGAGTCCCGCAGGGGTCAGTCCTTATACCTATACTGTTTCTGATATATGTAAATGATCTCCCAATAGACGAGTATAGACTCGTTTCTCTCAATGTTTGCTGATGACGCAAAAATTATGAGGAGGATTGAAACAGAGGAGGTTAGTAGGAGGCTACAAGATGACCTGGACATATTGAATGAATGGTCAAACAAATGACTGCTCAAGTTCAATCCGAGTAAATGCAAAGTAATGAAACTAGGCGGCGGAAACAGAAAGCCAGACACAGGATACAGAATGAGAGATGAAGTACTTCATGAAACGGACAAAGAGAAAGATCTTTGGGGTTGATATCACACCAAACCTGTCTCCTGAAGCCCACATAAAAAGAATTACGTCTGCGGTATATGCGAGACTGGCTAACATCAGAACAGCATTCACGAACCTGTGTAAGGAATCATTCAGAATCTTGTATACCACATACGAAAGACCAATCCTGGAGTATGTGGTCCCAGCATGGAGCCCGTACCTTGTCAAGCGCAAGACGAAACTAGAAAAAGTTCAGAGGTATGCCACTAGACTAGTCCCGGAGCTAAGAGGCATGAGTTACGAGGAAAGGCTGGGACAGATGTACCTTACGACACTGGATGACAGAAAAGTAAGGGGAGACATGATCACTACTTACAAAATCCTCAGGGGTATTGACAGGATAGACAAGGATAAACTATTCAACACTGGTGGTACGCGAATAAGGGGACACAGGTGGAAACTGAGTACCCAAATGAGCCACAAGGACGTTAGAAAGAACTTTTTCAGTGTCAGAGTAGTTAACAGGTGGAATGTATTAGGCCGTGATGTGGTGGAGGCTGACTCCATACAGTTTTAAATGTAGATATGATAGAGTCCAGTAGGCTCAGGAATCTGTACACCAGTTGATTGACGGATGAGAGGTGGGGCCAAAGAGCCAAAGCTCAACCTCCACAAGCACAATTAGGCGAGTACACACACACACACAATATATACGCAACACACACACACACACACACTATCAACACTGGATGAATCTAAAGCAGCTGGACCAGACAATGTATCAACGTGGATGCTAAAAGAGGTAATACAGGCCCTCAGCGTGCCTCTAGCAAGGATCTATAATGAGTCATTTACAAAGGGAGAGTTGCCCAGTTGCTGGAAGAAGGTAAATGTGGTGCCAATTTTCAAGAAATGAGATAAAGAAGAAGCACTTAACTTCAGACCAGAATCACTGGCAAGCATCCCCCTGTAAAATACTTGAAAGAATAATCAGGTTAAGACTGGTTACACACCTGGAGAACATTAGGTTTGTAAACAAACACCAACATGGGTTAAGAGAAGGGAAAATCATGCCTAACAAACCTTCTGGAATTCTATGATAAAGTAACAAGGCTAAGGGAGGACAGTGAAGAATGGACAGACTGCATATGCCTGGACTGCCAAAAAGCCTTTGATACAGTACTGCACATGAAATGCTAATCAAACTGCACTGTATCTATAGCTACCCAATCTCCCAATCTTTATGTACCTAATCCAAACAACTTCACCATTGTGATCATTGCTGTCTTCTTATATGCACTATCAATTTGCTTACCAACCTTAAGCATGTTAAGGTTGGTACCTTAACATGTTAAACATACACTCACTCCACACATTTTCTTGTGCTATTTACATGTACAAAACATTGTTCCTAAATGCTAATCTTGATCTGAAACTTTTCCTTGGGAGGTGTAATAGAACCCATGAGCACCACACCAGACAAATCTCTCTTTGAGATCCCAGAGATTGAGGCTAAATCTGTGCAAACACACCATGCAAATATATGGACCCAGTCTGTGGAACTCACTCCCTGATGAATTAAAAAATTGTCCAACCTTTGCATTATTCAAAAGTAAAACCCAAAAATACCTAATTTCATCCTCATAGTTTCTTACCTTGTGCTTCAAACTCACCCTGTATCTTGTACTACCCACTTCCCCAATATTAATACTTAAGACATATTTTCACTAGTGTAATCACCACTGTCAATTTATATTGTAGTTATATGTTGATATAAAATTTTGCAACAGTGTACCTTTTCATATTACCTGATATGTTAGATCAATCACCTGCCTGAAACGCTATGCGTGTTAGTGGCTTTGCAAAAATGTAAAAATACCAATCTTATGTAATCTCACCAACCCATTGTACCTTGTTGTAAAAAAAAATTATTATATATTATTGGTGAGGGGACGGAGATAAAACAGGAGGTTCAGTGCAGCCCACCTAAACTAATCACCTCATCTGGTTTACTCCGCCTAGTTAGAAATCGGGTCACGTGGGCATTGTAGGGTTGGTACCTCCTATTGGTCTATGGATGCTGATTTGCCCTGCAGTGGTGACCCGGTGACCCACGTATACTGCTCTGGTTACCCGAGGTTGCTTGTCCATGTGCTAGTGCCTCCCATGTGAGCTCCGTGGTGGGAGGGGGCACTAAGCAGTGTTTACTTTTATGAATACTTTAGGCCCTCTTTACCCCTTCTCAGACTCGTGGGGTTGGTGACCGGGCTCCATGGCTTCGGCTATGGTGGGCCCAGACCAATCTTTGTTTCAGACTACCCCTATTGACCCTCTCTGTTCCTCTCACATTTCTTGAGCAGGGTTGAGCTCTAAGCCTCAATGGTGTAAATGGTGACTACCTCATCAGATGTGGGTCCATCTTCCATTGTGACAACTGCGCCATTTATCCTCTTCCTTAATGGGAGTTCTCGGCGCAGACACTGCACACACTGCAATCATCCACGTTTGCTTCTTTCTACCTTTGCTAGGTTTTGGGTTTAGTTTGGCCCCCGCTACAAAGTAGCTTGTCCCTTGACCTTCCTTCCTACCATCCTAACTGGCGGTGGGAAACGGTTCTGACGAGGTTACACATTGGCCATACACGTCTCGCTCAGTGGCACTTAATGGATCACCACCCTGCTCCTTATTGTCCGAACGGCTTTGTCCCTCTTAAAGTCATACACCTTCTTTGATGGATGTCCCAATTTTCAAGATGTTCATGAATCTTGCTTACCAATTGTCCCCCGTGGTCCTTTGTCCCCTCAATAGAATCCTGGGTGAATCTGATTCCTTTGATATTGTTTACCTTATGATTTTTTGTTCTTGAATTATTTTTAAATATCACTGTCTTCAGTGGTATTTAGCGCCTTTTGAAAATCCAGCGACATGGATCGTGCTTCACAGTCAGCCTGGCTCGGTGCCGTTTTTTGATAATTTGCTTACTTTCCCACATGATGTTGTGAATGGAAACTGCCATGACAGTGTAAAATATATCCTCAAGGACCAAGGTTATTCTATCCTCCCAGGTTGATAGAATATTTGACCCCCCTCGCGGTCAGCATTGTCAATCATTTACAGTAGTTAAGATCACTTTTGATAGTAAAAACCTAAATAGGGGGACCCCCATTAAGAATCAAATGGGGGATCTTCGACAAGCCGCCGGCTTCCTGTCCTTGTCGAGGCCATTAGGGTTACTGGCCCTCAGGTAAATCGGGTATAACCAGAAAAAAGGCGAACTTTTCTACAAACCGTGGCAAGCTCGTTGTAACCATGAACTGATCAGTCAGTGATTCATTAGAGATGACTTAATAATAGCTAGGAAGACTGGCTCAGTAAGTCCTACGAAACTGCAGTACTATGATCAACTCAATACTTCTTCCCCACTGTCTGACCTGAACAACCAGTAACTGCGTCTGATTCGCCTCGGGAATCTTACTCAAAGCAGTCCCTAATCTTACCTGGAAACTCCACTATATCTTGACCCTGCCATTGCCCCCATACAAATTAACCCCATGTAACCTATCCTCATAAACATACACATACAGTACAGTAATTTCATTTCGAAGATACAGCAACTTTTTTTTATGATGTAATGAGTTAACAAAGTAACAGTTAAATTGATTTGCTGACAGTATAGTACAATGTTGTGGTTACAGGAGTGGCTGGCGAGGACGCCAGTTGGCCGCCCGGGCACCGGAGACGAGGTCGCCGACGCTGTCCTCTTCCTGGCCTCGCCTTCTGCCTCCTATGTCTCCGGTAGTGGCCTAAATGTCTGTGGAGGTCGTTCCGTCCCCCTCTAGTGCACTACCTGCAGCATACCTGAAGAGTTTCGGGAGTTCTTCTACTCCCCGAGCACAACCTGAGGCTACTCTCGATTACTACTATTGTTTTGTAACAGAACATCAACCACCACAAACTGCTTCACCCACTCTATGGAACTAATGCCCTAATGAATTAAAAAAATTGTCCAACCTATGTTTTAATTAATAATTCATTGTGTGGGGGGGGGGACAGGCAGCCAGAGTATATTCACACACTCCATTCACCTGGACTCTAGGAGACTCGAACTGTGGACCACATGTTTGTGAGGCCTAAGTGCTATCGACCGAGCTATTGAGTAGTCTTAATGAGGAAAGTTTCGAGAAGCAGCATCCTGCCGCCAAACTGGAATCCTGCCCAACTAAAAGCAGCAGGATGCTGCTTCTCGAAACTTTCCTTATTAAGATAAATCAATAGCTTGGTTGATAGATCTTCGGCCTCACACACGTGGGGTCCACAGTTTGAATTTCTTAGTCCAGATGAATGGAATATTTATTTCCACGGAAGTGTGGATGACAATTTATATTCATACACGTCTGCCTTATAACGATGTCCCCCCCCCCCCTCCCAGTTTGAATTACTGACCCTGCGCAGGATGCAATGTGCCCACTGGGTGGAGCTGTGCATGATAAACACATCAAATTATGACTAGCTCACAACATATGTAAGTTGCTAGGGAGTGCGAAAGACTTTGTGTAAATTCCTTACATAAATTTCACAAATACACAAGTGTGGGTTTTTATCTTATGTTATTATGTCTGTGAGAAGACATTACCATTATTTAATAATAATAATGTTAGGCAAGAGTACATATTATACATAAAAAGATACATGTGTAGCAAGTGTATTATGTCAGTAATATAATTGCTCCAAACTCTCATTGGCTTATGTGCTGATAATGAGATGGGTCTGTTAATTCTACTTAGTCCACTAATTACAAATTCATATCTCTTTCTGAATTACAGTTAACACTGCTTTCCTACCTGCTAGAGAATGGTGAGGTGTGGACCAATTATATAAGCAATCAGTAGCAAATTATCATTTTATGGGCAGTTCATGCTCATGCCACCTCTTGGGTGGCTTAAGCTTCATCAATCAATCAATCATATTCATCATCCCAGACCCAGTTACAGCTCCACTCCTGTGCCAGGCAAGTCCGCTTCAGGCTCACCATAGCCTGTGCTACTTGGAACTTCTGTTCCGAGTAGCTGAATCTAAAACAACAACAAAAAATAATCATCAGTCTTATATCAGGAGTAATTACATAAGTGTAGTTATAGGATGAGAGCTACGCTTGTGGTGTCCCGTCTCCCCAGCACTCTTTGTCATAGAACGCTTTGAAATTACTGACGGTTTTGACCTCCACCACCACCTCATCTAACTTGTTCCAACCGTCTACCACTCTGTTTACAAAAGTGAATTTTCTTATATTTCTCTGGCAGCTTTGTTTCGTTAGTTTAAATCTATGACCTCTTGTTCTTGGACTTCCAGGTCTCAGGAATTCTTCCCTAACAATTTTATTGATTCCTGTTACTATTTTGTACGTAGTGATCATATCGCCTCTTTTTCTTCTATCTTCTAGTTTTTGCATATTTAATGCCTCTAACCTCTCCTCGTAGCTCTTGTCCTTCAGTTCTTGGAGCCACTTAGTGGCATGCCATTGCACCTTTTCCAGTTTGTTGATGTGCTTCTTAAGATATGGGCACCATACAATCGCTGCATATTTCAGTTTTGGTCTAACAAAAGTCGTAAACAATTTCTTTAGTATTTCTCCATCCATGTATTTACAAGCAATTCTGAAGTTAGAAAGTGTAGCATAGGCTCCTCGCACAATGTTCTTAATGTGGTCCTCAGGTGACAGTTTTCTATCTACAACCCACCCCTAGATACCTTTCTTTGTCAGAATTCTTTAAAGATTTCTTACATAATTTATAGATTGTGTAGGGTCTATGTTCTCCAATTCCACATTCCATAACATGGAATTTATTCACATTAAGTTCCATTTGCCAAGTGTTGCTCCATATACTGTACTTATTTTGTCCAGGTCTTCTTGAAGGGCATGACAATCATCTAGGTTTCTTATCTTCCCTATTATCTTAGCATCATAAGCAAACATGTTCATATAATTCTGTATTCCCACTGGTAGATCGTTTATGTAGACAATGAACATTACTGGTGCAAGAACTGAACCCTGTGGTACTCCACTCGTGACATCCCTCCAATCCAATACCTTGCCTTTGATTATGGCCCTCATTTTTCTGTCAGTTAGGAAATGTTCATCCATGTTAGAAGCTTACCTGTCACCCCTCCAATATGTTCCAGTTTCCAGAACAGCCTCGTATGGGGAACTCTGTCGAAACCCATTTTTAAGTCCAGATAGATGCAGTCAACCCAACCATCTCTTTCCTGTAAAATCTCTGTGGCTCGATCATAAAAACTGAGTAAGTTCATTACACAGGATCTTACAGATCGAAAACCATACTGTCTGTCTGATATATCGTTTTTCTCCAGGTGTTCTACCCATTTAGTTTTAATTACTTTTTTCCAATATTTTGACTATTACACTTGTCAATGATAAAGGTCTATAATTAAGGGGGGTCTTCCCTGCTGCCACTTTTGTAGATTGGAACTATGTTAGCCTTTTTCCATACATCAGCTACAACTCCTGTAAACAGGGATGCTCTCATTTAAACGTTTTGCCTCGGCGAGGTTCAGTTTCAGCTTCTCTCTGTCTTCTTTTGAAAGATCTTGTCTTAACGACCACACTTTCCCATCCTCATCACTTTGTAATTTTCTAGCATTCCTTAGTACTTCTTCCATCTGTTTGGCACCATTTAGGATGATCCTCTTTTCCTTTTACGTACCCGCCTATTCTTCTGTAGTCACGCACGTTCTCTATGGTAGTAAGACCTTCCACGAGGCCAACAATTTTATCTACTACTTTTGCAGGCGATGAGTCACAATAACAATCAACTTGAATCAATATTCAATCGACTTGAGAATGGTCCAGGACGGACCGAAACGTCGTCGTCCCTTCAATTTCTAGTGTGTGGTCTGGTCATCAATCTACTACTTTTGCTTCTTCTACAGATCTTTCTGACCTAGATGTTATCTCCTTTTCTTTGCAACCAAAAATTATCAGGGACTTCGATCAAATGTCTTTTGCACCAACTTCGGGTTAGATGCAAATTCCTTTCTCACTTCCAGCCTAATGTTTGTTTTATCCTGGTTGCTGCAATGTTTGGCTTCCTTTACTACTACTACAATTTTTTCCTTCTCTCTGGCCACTTGTGCATAGGCGAGTTGCGTATCCTTCTTGCACTGTTCCCTGTGTATCTTCCTCCATCTGTACTGACAAAAGCTGTTTCTCCTGTTGAATTTCCTTACCTAACCTATTGTAATCACTTATGTTTAAATTTGCTTTAACTTCTTCCAAAGCTATTTTTAAGAGTTTATTTTCTTCTTCCCTGGCTTTGCAATGTGTTTCCAATTGATTCTTGTCCTTGCACAAGTCTTTCACTAAACCCTCAAGACTTAAAACTTTGCTACACAAATAGTCATTACTTTCTTTCAATTTACTGATTATTTCTACATGAGAGTTCACTATGGTATCTAATTTTACCAACTTGTTGTGTAGACTGCTTATATCAATGCTTTCTTCATTGAATCCTCCAAAATCAAGCTCTGTTTTGTTTTTCCTTTTGCCGGCAGCCATCTTGAATGTTCTTGTCTGCACTCGAAACACTGGGGCAACTTTTTCTAATCCAATTTTTTCACTTCCCTTAGTACATTCCTGTTATCTCACCTATTTTTTAAAAGCACCATACCTTTATGTTCCCTGGGACAGCACTCACTATCATCAACCTATTCTAAAATACTTAGGATTATTGAAATATGCTGGAGCTCCTCTGATGGAAGTGTTAACACTAGGATGCCACCTTTTGAGTGAGGAGTGGTTCAGTACAGATGCTTGTGATCGAGATACCTCACAATTTTAATATTTACCAACAACAATGTAACACTCGACGTGTCCAGTTCCTACCCACACAAGACGCTTCAGCTTCGACACAGAGCAGGCAGCCAGACTCCGGCCACATCAAGCCACATCTTGAATGTTCTTGTCTGCACTCGAAACACTGGGGCAACTTTTTCTAATCCAATTTTTTCACTTCCCTTAGTACATTCCTGTTATCTCACCTATTTTTTAAAAGCACCATACCTTTATGTTCCCTGGGACAGCACTCACTATCATCAACCTATTCTAAAATACTTAGGATTATTGAAATATGCTGGAGCTCCTCTGATGGAAGTGTTAACACTAGGATGCCACCTTTTGAGTGAGGAGTGGTTCAGTACAGATGCTTGTGATCGAGATACCTCACAATTTTAATATTTACCAACAACAATGTAACACTCGACGTGTCCAGTTCCTACCCACACAAGACGCTTCAGCTTCGACACAGAGCAGGCAGCCAGACTCCGGCCACATCAAGCTTCCGCGCTCTTGTCCTGCATCAAGCTCCTCGACTCCGCCCGCATTCAGAACACCATGCTCTTTGACTCTCAGCCTGCATCCAAGCTCTCTACCCCCGGCCTCACTCAGCTCTCTGCCCTGCTCCAGGCTTTGTCTCAACTACTACAACACTTTACTAAACTGCCAACAAAGCAACTGCCTCAGTCGCCAGTCTGAGTGGTGTCTGAGTCAAAAGTCAGTGGGTGACTTTTCACACCCACTGTCTATACTAATGAAACAGTTCACTACCAAAAGGATAAATAACCCATGGCTTACTAAAGATATACTAAAATCTATCAACAAAAAGCATGAATATGAAAAGAAATATAGATTAGGGATCATTTCTAAAGAAGTGTCTAGGAGGTACTCAATGCCAAGATAATTAATAGAGCCAACACAAGGTACAGTACTATGAAAATAAACTTAAAGGGTAAAATGAAGAAAATATGGAGCACTATTTCCCAGATATTAGGTTCAAGAACTTGAATAGTCAACCAATTTTTCTAGCCAGCAACAGTGGAGTACTATCAACCATTCATGTTATACTGTCTAGTGTAGTTTGAAGAATTGCCGCAGTAGGCTTATATACAGTATATATTTTTAATTTTTATGTTGTGCCCAAAACAGTCTGCATATTAACGGCTTTAGGCACTGTACTTGTATTGTGTACTTAATACACATAATACATTAGTTTCCCCGGCTTGCTATCTTTTGATAATTACGCATTTGTATTACTTGAATCCTCCACAGTTCATGTATTGTATGAATGTGCTACTGCTTAACCCTTCAACAGCACAATACATACATATATGATTTGACAAAAAATAATTTTAGATAAGTTTTTAAAACTTGCACAAACACTTTCAAATTTTTTTTGCATAATCAACTGGGTAAATGCTTCAACTTTGTATAAATGTTTACAGCGTAACTTGAAAAACAAGAGAATCAATATTAATTTAAAAATTGAATATTGATAACTTCAGATTTTCAATTCAGAATAAAAAATATGAACTATCATAGAGTTCATTTAATGTTGTTATTCTCTCAGAATATCATGTGATCTTCATTTTCATCAAATTAGAATATAGGTTTTCAGTAGTTTACTGTAAAAAAAAATCGTCAATAAGGCATTTGAAATATGTGGCAAATTTAGACCAAAAAAAATTATAACTCTAAATGTATAAAGTTTATGAAAAATCAATTCTGAAGGGATTGTAGAACAGACAACTGAGCACACAACATGTCAAAATATTGAGAATCGGTAAAAAACTGGAATGTTAGAAGCCACTCAAAGATGAAACTCTAGTTTCAGAGATAATTGAAGTTGAAGTTAACAACAATGAATAAAGGTAGTTTTAATTCAATAATTTAATTGTAGTTTTAATAAACATTGTTTGGCATTCATACTCGAATATGTGAAAGTTGTAGGTTAATATGAAATGAAGTCAAGAGAAAATAACCCCCAAAAAACACAAAATATAGGGATAAATATAATAATTATAATGATTTAGGGGATATATTTAGGGTATACTTTATATAAGTGAAACAGCCCTAATATGGTCCCTAATCATCAAAACAACCTAAAGAGACAAAGTAAATAGTTTGAAATCAGAGAAAAAAAATTGAAAGTTCCAAGTTTTATGAGTTGTGATGACTTATTTGTTGACCAATTTCATTCTGTCTTCACATAGTTTTGGGAATACATGTATTCTCCAGGATGTAAGGGTTACAATAAAATCAGATAATAAACAAAGGGGAAAAAACTAAAATCTTAAAAAAAAAAAATCCCCCTAAAAAAAATATTTTTGGAACATTGATGAAATTAGCATTTATTAACATTGGACACTGTATTTATATAATATATAACAAAATTAGGCATAATAACATAGTTACTCATTATTATTTGAGTTATTATGTATTACTCAGCAATGATATAAAGGCACCAACTGTATATCCACTTTGTGGACACTTCTTATTACTATTCTTCTTCTTTGAGCATCAGACAGGTGCTTGCATCTCTTTATTACTGCATTACCCTTCAGTTCCAGTGATTAGGAGCTGTTCTCCTTATCAACAAAACGTTCTTATTTTTAAAAAATTCGTCTAAAATAATTTTCTGAAAATATTTTGATGAAAATTTCACAAAACTAAAGCCAATAAGTTGGAGATTCGTTTAAAATTTTTAAGTTATTTTTACATAATTCAAACATTTTTCAAAATAAGGCTCCCAATATGCACGGTCTAAGAGTTAAATAAATCTTATTTTTTTTGTTACTTTTTGATTATTTAAATCTGTTCCTACTGCATAATTTAGTTTATTTGTAGTTTGCACAGTTGTAATCATATTTACAAGTTAATGTTCACTTCTGTCCACTAGAGTTATTCTGTTTGTTTTGCTTATCCATTTTATAAAAGTAACTTCATGTTTACTACTTTCATTTATTAAAAAATTTCCCAATGTTATGTTTCACTCATCCTCAAAGTGGTTATTCAACTGTACAAATTTCTGGTGTGCCCGTGCATTTGGACTATTGTATCCAAACACGGAGATCTCGTCTTCAGAAGTACACATCTGCTTTGGAGAAAGTACAATGCAGAGCAACAAACACCATCCTTGAACTAGGTTACTTCCTATAACAGGAAGGGTTGAGGGTCACAGGACTAACACCACAGCAAACCAGATGTGACCGGATCTCATAACTTATAAAATACTGAACACATTAAAGAAGATTAATCTAGACCACTTCTTCAAGAGGTTACATGTAACACATACAAAGGTAACAGCTTCAAGCTCAACAAACCACAATGTAAGAGAGAAAACAGGATATGCTTTTTAACCCATAGGATTATAAATCCATGGAACCGTCTACCTGCTGAAGCCGTAAATGCCAAGACACTACTGCAGTTCAAAATTGAATTGGAAAAAATAATCAAGAAAAACAGGGAGACAATTGGCAAGCCACTGGCTTCCTGTCCCTATCAAGGCCATTAGAGATGGAGGCCCTCATGAAAAAAAAAAATTTACGTCTTCAGGTCACAGGTCTGACCAGGGAGGCATGGTCACAGACTGGGCCACAGGGACCTTGACTCCTGGAATTACCGCAAGGTAAGGTAAGGTAAGGTAAACAATACGGTAACTGGTCTCTGCAACCACTGATCCTCAACAACCGCACCTTATGGTTCGCTTTGTCACAATGCTGTCACAACATACAACAACTGCAGCTGTAACCATTTACATCAAATATATATATATATCTAGTTACCATATTGTGTGTTTGTAGTCCAAACAAGTCATTAACATTTGTGAGAAATAAAATTATATGATGTGGGCTTCAGTAGTAGTCAGGTAAAATAAAAAATTCCAATTTGGCAGCAGGATGCTGCTTCTGGAAACTTTCTTTTTTAAGACTACTCATAGCCCAATCGATAGAGCGTTGGCCTCACATGTATGGGGTACACGGTTCGAGACCCATACAGCCCAGGTGAATGGAAGGAAATTTATGAGAAATGAATTTCACGACTGTTTAAAGAGTGGAATGTGGATGCATGTCCTGGAGTCGCCAACATGGGAATCTCTAGGGTGCGCATATAACCATGCAAGATCATAAGCCCTTTAGTTCAGGACTTAGGTCTGTCTTGTTGGGTATCTCTGGGTAGGCCCCCAGATAAATTCAATGATGTTGCAATGGCCATTGCATGCCTACTGTATGAGCTGCCAGGACAAATCATACAAGTTATTTGAATACAGCACAGTATTTTACAGGCTAGGAGTAAACAGAGGAGCCAGACGAGTTTCAGGGTGTGGCGAGCAAAGGGGTCACTTGACACGGTCAATGTGAGGTTATCCCAAACCATCCCAGTAGTACAGTACTATCCCAGTAGTACAGTTGCATTCATTCTAGACTCACAATCAGGAATTTCGGGAACATATCCCGGGCAGAAGAGAACTGGTTGGGACATTTCCTATCACATAATGCCCTGTTCACCTTGCAGTGTTAATAGGTACCAAGGAGTTAGTCAGCTTGTTGTGGGGTTGCATTCTAGGGAGGGTCAGTAATTTGACACAGGGAGGCCTCAATATAAGCCTAACATTGATGTATATATATATACTGTACACTGCCTGCCTGTTTCCCGACACAATAAATTATTAATTAAACGTCTTGGTTCCTTTCCATCATCTCTAGCCAACATGTATGACAGACTGTGAGTCAAATTGCCATCAATCTGTTCCACATGGAACAGATCACTCGGCATTACACACTACAAAATATTATACTGCATTACTAAATTATTTGTTTTAATTAGGTAAGATCTGAATAATATCGGACACCATTAACCTGTTTATTATTATCCAGAATAAGTATACAAATAGTGAATATTTTCAAATCAGAGTTTGATACTGCTAAAGGTACCAGAGTAAAGTTAACCAAGTAAAGCTAACATGAGGTAAAGAAATAAAACAAGTGATGCTACTTTCATAATTTACATACAAATGTATGGGAAGATCAACTTATACAAGTTTAAAGACCTTTCTATATACATAAGGCAATTCCTACAATAAAAGTAGGTCAGTACACACACACACACACACATTTATATACTGTATTTACATTTCTATTATACTGCATGTGCACATATTGTAATTTTCATTTGATACATAATAATAACAGGCCTTGTCAATGTTTCCAAATACTGAACACACTTACTTGGTCTTCAGAAAGACATTACATTCAATCAACATCTACTGAGAGGAAAGAGTTGGATAAGGCAAGCCAAGTTCAGCCTCACCATCAATCTGGTCAATAGATGTAAAGATCAAATTGAAAGAACAGCTATGCAGAAAATGTTTTGTTGATACTCTTAGGAGTTCCTTGTATGGAGCCTCCATGCAGAGAGCCTGTGAAAAAAAAAATTCAATTATATATTAAGCAAAAATAAGATCATAAAACCCAAGCAATTATTAAAAATGCTGGGCTACGATGACTGTGCAGTATAGCACTATATAACTCGCAGATTATTCAATAGTTCCCAGATTACACTTGATATGCCTATACAGGAGCAGGATGTCATCAAAGGTGTCAAAATTACAGTACTGAGGATTTTATTGAGAGAAATGTGGTACGAAGAAAGAGTCAGGGAGAAACATTTCCAATTCTGAAAATTGGGACAGTCAACCAGAAGATATTGGCTGCAGGAAAGCAGGACAATGTAATTTAGTGTGTGGCATACAACATTATTTCCAATGTGCCGGCTAGCTATTCCCACAATCACTAATGACACAAGCAAATTTATTCAATAACCATTAATGACATCTGTAATTATATTACATGTTCTCAACTGTGACGATGTTGACTATCTGTTGAGCGCACCGGACGCAAATTCTTTTAGGAGAGGTGTGATGACATCAACGCCATCTGTTAAGTGCACCTGACCCCAGTTCTCTTTCCCTGGTGGAAGGCTGTGATCTTATTGACACCTGTAATTACCTAAGTGTAATTACCTAAGTGTAGTTACAGGATGAGAGCTACGCTCGTGGTGTCCCGTCTCCCCAGCACTCTGTCATATAACGCTTTGAAATTACTGACAGTTTTGGCCTCCACCACCACCTCACCTAACTTGTTGCAACCGTCTACCACTCTGTTTACAAAAGTGAATTTTCTTATATTTCTCCGGCAGCTTTATTTCGTTAGTTTAAATCTATGACCTCTTGTCCTTGAAGTTCCGGGTCTCAGGAATTCTTCCCTATCAATATTATCGATTCCTGTTACTATTTTGTACGTAGTGATCATATCGCCTCTTTTTCTTCTATCTTCTAGTTTTTGCATATTTAATGCCTCTAACCTCTCCTCGTAGCTCTTGCCCTTCAGTTCTGGGAGCCACTTAGTGGCATGTCGTTGCACCTTTTCCAGTTGATGTGTTTCTTAAGATATGGGCTCCATATCTTAAGATATGTAGTTTCTTTCTTACTAATCACATTTTACTCCTCAGAAGTGATATGGGTGGTCTCTTGGTCAACAGGAATCAGTTCACCCAGGGCAGTCCTGAACTCAAGAGGAGCTCCAGTAGGATCAAGTGGCCGAGTTGGTGTAGACTGATTTTCTGTGATACTTGGTGAAATATTTGTGACTGGACCGATGTATCCCAGGAGAGCCAAGTTGAGTTACGAGATGGAAGTACTGTCCGTCAGTTAAGGCTTGTTATAATTGAAGCCTGTATGGAAGCCTGTCAGCATGTTGCTAGAGACCCCTGCCAGTGTGTTGCTGGAGACCCCTACCAGTGTGTTGCTGGAGACCCCCTACCAGTGTGTTGCTGGAGACCCCCTACCAGTGTGTTGCTGGAGACCCCCTACCAATGTGTTGCTGGAGACCTCTGCCAGTGTGTTGCTGGAGACCCCCTACCAATGTGTTGCTGGAGACCCCCTGCCAGTGTGTTGCTGGAGACCCCTGCCAGTGTGTTGCTGGAGACCCCTACCAGTGTGTTGCTGGAGACCCCTGCCAGTGTGTTGCTGGAGACCCCTACCAGTGTGTTGCTGGAGACCCCTTACCAGTGTGTTGCTGGAGACCTCCTGCCAGTGTGTTGCTGGAGACCCCCTGCCAGTGTGTTGCTGGAGACCCCCTGCCAGTGTGTTGCTGGAGACCCCTGACAGTGTATTGCTGGAGACCCCTACCAGTGTGTTGCTGGAGACCCCTGCCAGCGTGTTGCTGGAGACCCCTGCCAGCGTGTTGCTGGAGACCCCTGCCAGTGTGTTGCTGGAGACCCCTGCCAGTGTATTGCCCCTTGAGCAACCGCCGGGTGACCCGAAAGCCCACCAGAAACAGACAAAGACGGGACCGCAGCCGCAGGAGAGACTCCGGAGGAAGAGACAAGGAAGCGGTCCGAGAGTCACAAACAAGACCCAGCCAAGTCCGAACCTGAGAGGGAACCAGATGGGACTTCCTCCAGTTCACCGGCGATCTGGGAAAGAACCAAATCCCTGGCTAGCAAGCAAGCCGACCGGCTGGGAGCCCAAATCATCCAGTTGTCGAGATAGGCCAACACCCGAACACCTAAGAGACGCAAACGGGCCACCACGACCCGCATAAGGCGCGTGAACACGTGAGGTGCCAGGTTCAACCCGAACGGGAGACAAAGAAAACTGAAACATTGATGCTCCACAACAAAACCGAGCCAGTCCCGCAACCTTGGATGAATCGGGACATGCCAATAAGCGTCTCGGAGGTCCAAGGACACCATCCAAGCGTCCGGATCCAAGAGGAGCCGAACCTGGGACAGCGTAGTCATCCGAAAGGAGGGGCAATAAACCTAGGGGTTCAGACGGGACAAGTCCAGAATGAACCTCAGGTCCGCGCAGTCCCGTTTCGGTACCGGAAACAGACGGGAAACCCATCTGAGGGACGTCGTCGTTTCGACCACACCCAAGCGAACCCACTCCAAGACGACCTGACAGAGCGCAGGGGAAGAAACTTGCCCTGCCAGCCCCGACCCGCCTGAAAGGGGGGGGGGGGGCCACCCAACGCCACTGCAGGCCGACAGACACGACCTGAAACGCCCACGAATCGTGAGACCAGGCATGAGCGAACAGCGCAAGCCTCCCCCCATCGCCCCGTCAATGGGCAAACCGCCAATGAGCCGGCGTCCCTTACGAGACCCAGAACCCCGCACAGAGCGATCACCGTGCCGACCAGACGAGGGCAGGTCCGAAGGAGCCAAACCTGAACCTGACACCAGTGGCCTACCACGAGGAGAGGAACCCCGAGCCTTAGCACGCCCCTCTGGGAAGACCCACCATGGGACCCCCGGAGAACCAACAAGTCCGACATCTGATGACAAGCAGACGAAGTAGCCTGGATAAACTTTGCCATGGCAAGGCGCCGGACCCCGGGACGGACCCAAGTGCCCTCACATCCTCCACGAGCCAATCCGAGGACAGCTCCAGGAGGAAGAAGAACTGCAAGGCCGAAGCCAAAAGGCCCCGGGCGCGCAAGTCCTCCGCAACAAGCGCTGCCAAAAGGGAGGGAACCTGCACATGGAGCTGAACAACGTGGAAGGGCAGGGGCAAAGAAGCACTCATTCAGGTACCCAAGATTGCCACCCAAGAAAACCTGAACCACCGTGGAAGCTTCCCGCCACTCCAGCGTGCGGAAACGACAGAAGGAATGACAGGCATCCAGAACAAACAAGGGGCAGTCCGCTAGCCAGGAAGACTCCGGAACCTCGTAATGGAGCCAGAAAGGGAACGAAGTTCCAAACCTGAATTCCGAGGGATCCATCTCAGAGGCATAATCCGGGTCATGCAGGAGGTACGCTGCAAGGGCCACCCGCACCACACCAGGTTGGATGCGATAAGCCGACAACTTCCGGAAAGACGGAACCAACGCACCTGGGGGAACACGGAACCGAACCCGTGGAGGGGCCGACACCAAATCCAACTCGTACGCGGAGGGGGGGGGGGGGGGGAAGAAAACCCCACTCCTTGTAACAGCAAGCCCCACTCAGAGGGAAGAAAAACCCAGGTGGGGTCCAGCGGGGCCTTCCCAAGTCAGCACCTCCCCAGCCCCTACATCCTTCACAGCAGGAGCCGGGACCGAGTCATCTCCCCCAAGCACCGACCCCACAAGACAAGGATGGTGCAGCCACAGAAGCCGAAAGAAAGGGGGGCCCAATGGTCAGACCCAGAAGCTTCGGCCGGGAGACAAGACTCGAAAGCCTCCACCCCCCCCCTCCTGGAAGGGGCCTCCGCCAAAGCTGCACGAGTCTTGAGATCAAGTAACCCCCCTGCCCCGACTCAGAAACCCTCAGACGTTTCGGGGCTGGAACCTGGGGGTGGGGGGGGGGGAAGTACCAGAATGTACAACTGGAGGGGAAGGACGAGGAGGTGCGGACTGAACCAGGATCGAAGTGACCCCCACCCCCAAGTTCGGGTCTCGAAAAGCAAAGTGGGGTTGCCCCAGGGCATCCGGGTGAGCAATCAACCGAGCGCGTTGCAACAGATGAAACCTAGCTTGCAACACACGCGCCGCCTGTACCCAAATAGAATCATCATTGGATTGGGTAAATTGAGTCATTAGCAAGCACCAACACTCACAGGACTCAGGATCGAAAGTATCACCGCCCACACAGGCGGCATGGCGGAGGCAAAGACAATGAGGGTCACCCCGAGACAAGAGGACCGAGCAACCCTCAAACTTGCACAAAGCGAGTGGGGACTCCGGGGTCACATCCATCAGACCCACGTGCCCCCTAGGGGATTCTCAGGGTCCTGAGTGTTTACTTTAAGAGGACTTGCGCCTAGGTAATCCTAGGCAGGGTGCTGCTAACCGGCGCCCAAAACTACCAAGCAAACTTCTACAGCTGAACCCCAGGGATGTGTACACTCACGGTGACCTAGCAGGGGGGCGCGACCGAGGAGAACCGTGGAAGGGCAAACACCAGTAGATAATAGGGCAGAACCCCCTACAAGGCAAAAAGAAAAACAAAACCCCGCAATAGGACAGCGAACCCCAAGGAACAGAGCCGGCTGCTATTTCGGGAAAACGAAGCTGCGCAGCACCCTGCGCCCCTACCAGTGCAAACTGCCACTTACCCGCAGGTAACAAGGGAGAACAGAACACCCAAGAGCCCAACAAGTGGCCGAAAAAACGAACGGCAGAACGAACCAGCAGAGGCAGGTCCCGAAGAGCCTGTGGAAGGTGGCCCCAAGGGCAGTACATAGAGGGCACCTAGGGAAGGCAGCCCTTGGCCCATGCAGCCTGAGTACTGAAGATAACTCCTGGCTCTCGCACCCTTGGAAAAACAAACACCACACACAAGGCACAGTACTGTAAAGACACTGGAGCCAGAGCACACGACCTCTGCTTATAGCATCAGCCTTAAAAATTAAGTAGCCGGCGAGAAGGATCTGAGGCTCCCCCTTCCCCCTTCCGGAGAAGAGGGAGCTGCACAGACAGCGGCGCGGCGACGTGTGACGTCATACTTGTTTGCTCGTTTTCTGTTGGGGAGTTCTATCTACTAGTTCGGCTTTTGGCAGCAATTCTAACTAGAATAGGGGTTTGTTTTGGGGTGCTTACCTTTCTGGGTGCCTGATCTGGTCAATAGCAGACATAGAATGCTTCCAACCACATGGGGGTTTCTATAGGCCATTGCTCCCCTTGCCTCTCTGAGGGGGGTTTGGTTCTGGCCGTGGTCTCCGGTAGGCCTAAGAACTCCATACACATGACGAATGCCAAAGTCTGACATTAGCATATCAGCCTGAGATAGCTCGGGGAGCCGAAGTTGCTTCCCCCCAGAAAATGAGGATCTGAAACTTAATACAGGGTACAAAACAATCGAATCTGTCCATAGTAGGAAAACAGCATGTCAAGGATTTGGGAATAATGATGTCCGACGATCTAACGTTAAAGGAGCATAACCAAGCAAATATTGCGTCAGCCAGAAAAATGATAGGATGGATTACGAGAACTTTCAAACTCAGGGATTCCATCACAATGGCAGTGCTCTTCAAGTCACTTGTGTTGTCCCGTCTTGAGTACTGCTCAGTACTCACTTCCCCCTCCAGAGCAGGAGAGATTGCTGAAATAGGGGAATACAGAGAACATATATGGCACGCATAGACACGATAAAGCACCTAAATTATTGGGATCGTCTAAAAGCTCTTAAAAATGTACTCACTAAAAAGAAGACGAGAGAGATACCAAATAATATACACATGGAAAATCCTGGAGGGCCAGGTCCCAAATCTACACAGTAAAATAACAACGTACTGGAGTGAACGATATGGAAGAAAATGCAGGACAGAACCAGTGAAGAGCAGAGGTGCCATAGGCACAATCAGAGAACACTGTATACATATCAGAGGTCCGCGGTTGTTCAACGTCCTCCCAGTGACTATAAAAAATATTGCTGGAACAACTGTGGACATCTTCAAGAGAAAACTAGACTTGTTTTCTAAAAGAAGTTCCGGATCAGCTGGGCTGTGGTGGGTATGTGGGCCTGCGGGCCGCTCTAAGCAACAGCCTGGTGGACCAAACTCTCACAAGTCGAGCCTGGCCTCGGGCCGGGCTTGGGGAGTAGAAGAACTCCCAAAACCCCATCAAGCAGGTATAACGAACCAACCTACCAGCCAGTTCACCAGCCAGTCCATTCACCATCCATCCTGATGCTCTCCCAAATATGACTTAACAGTTAACGACATCTTAAAACCTTCGGATTTAGCGGAGCCCCGGATTTAATGATTTGGGTACAGTCCCACATAGGTCATTAAATCAAGTTGATACTGACAAATGGCCCCCACAGGACAAGTCCTAGAATGGCTGGCACTTAGCTTAGCACTTGGCACTCATGACTAGGACACACCATGAGAGATGGCAACCATACTGAACATACGATACCTTACCTTGAGGTCACCTTGAGGTGGTTTCTGGGCTTAGCGTCCCTGTGGCCCAGTCCTCGACCAGACCTCCTCATTGCTGCACTGTTACACTGTTGTGTGGCAGTAGGCAACACATCAGTAACAGATCTGTGTAGCGAGCCAGTGATGGACCGAGCTCCGGGCTGCCTGGTAGTGGTGATCAGTACTAACACGTTTGAGCTAGTTTTGAGCGAATAATTTTGTTTTGGTTGAATTGTTTGGGGAAGAAGTTTGGAAGTTTCAAGACTTTGAGTCTTGTGAACTCAGCAGTTGTCTATAAAGCTTCACTGACTTTCTGAGTACTTTTCTGGTGAAATGACCAACTTTCATTTGCTCTCTTTGCCTCTGTGAGAAGGCCAGGTTGCAGCTCTGGTTCCAGATAGGCCAAACAGAACTCCCACGTTTGATGTTACTGGTAATATGGAGCACACTTGAGATAGCTAGAGGATGTTGCTCTATTTTTATAAATAACTAATTTTATATTTGAAAAGATAGGATTACTTTACCAGTTCAATGACATTCATTCATTTATGTTTGTTTATAGCGATGCTGAGTTATCTGCAAGAGTTTCCTCTTCCTCTCTTCAGCAGGATCGAGTGGAACGGTCACCTCAGTACAACCCAAACCACCATGTCCCATGACACAATCTGGCTGGATCTGAGAAAATAAAATAAAAATTTGAGTGAAATGGAAATGCCACTTTGTGAGGCACCTCAATAGCTTCTTTGGAGCTTAAGGCACTGGTATCAGATTGATCACCACACATTCAAGATGCCTTTCTCTTTTAAAAGCTCTAACTGTTGACTAATAGTGGTACATGCATGAACTATGCAAGTTTAGATATGTTCAGCCAACATCTATCGGTCACCATTCCAGTTGGCCACTACGTGACCAACATATTGATTCCTTCAACATATTGAAGGAATGTTTTGACTGCTTGAAAACTAATCCAATGACCCTGTACAAGCCAAGAAATGCCTGATAACACAATGTGTTATACATTGCATGTGTTATACAATACAATGTGATACTTGTGTATACTATACTTGTGTAAATTTTCTATGGCTAGCAACTGTGGAACTAGCATCTTGTTGCAGAGGCAAGAAGCATCTAACACTCTGAGCAGCACAGCTGTTTAACTAAACTTTTCTAATATTTTAATCTTGGAATATCCCTGAAACTGGCAGTTTACTAAGGCTATTATGAAAGCTGGTGATCATATAACATCTGACTGACAGTTCAAGGACTAGCATTCACTACCAAGTTTCACTGGAATGCTTATTTTATATCATGTACAAATGTCGTAAGTTAAATGTCAATACAATGAGGTATATCTTAAAAATATTAACAACAATCCTCTCAGGGGAAAAAAAAATTAGCATTGAATGTAATGAAATGTCTTTCTTTGGTGGTGCCTTGGTGGCTCGCTACTGCTATCTACCTGAATAGCTCTAACCAATTCAATCTATGCCAGGCCCTTGTGAGTCACTGTAAGCCTACCCAAGACAAGAGGTCAAAACCTGACACCCCCTCTAAAGAGGCACAGGGAGACTGAGTATACTAGATCACTCAGACCGTGAAAGAGCTACAATAGACAATCAGTATGGTAAATACAAAGTATAGAAAATGAGACACCGAACTGAATGAACCACCCGAGTCTTAAAGCAGTCACTTGGTAGTTACACCTGCATGCAACCAGGAGGATGCACCTAGCAACTTGATCCTCCATCTGACACATCAGTCCATTTAGCAAGAGGACAGAAAATTGAAGCTCCTGAAAAGGGGAAGGGAGAGTCAAGAAAGCCTTCAAGGAACCACCAGAAAGAAGCATTTCATTACATTCAACACTGGATTTTTGGGAGGACTCCCATGGTGGCTCCCAGTCGCTGTCACCACTGAGCACTAAATATAAGGGAATTCACCAGGAGCTGAGGAGAGCTGCAGAAAGTAACCCCCCCATCCCATAGTAGGGTGAACTAGCAAAGAGTAACCTGTCCCAAAACCCCACAAGTTTGGTGTGGATCAGACATGTTAACTAAGTACCAAACAAAAACCCTTGAGCCCAATCTGCCCCAGACATATTTGAAAACACAGCGAACAGACTCTCACTTTGCAATCATGGGCACGAAGGTAGGCCGCATGCTGGCTAAGCTTGATGACACCGCAGATGATCTGAGATAAATGGACCCCTGGAAGAAAGAACCAGGGGAAAGCAAACCCACAAACAGAGCATCTCCCCACACACCACTAGTGGCACAGAGGTAATGGCAAACATATGTAAATGAATACTATAAATGGTGCACCCCTGGCTCAACCAACTAAGTATCAGTCACCAAAAGGACCCCTCCACCAACCAGCCAGCTTATTTTTAGCCAGAAAAGAAGGCTGCAATGAAAGAATATTACCCCCACCCAGGAGCAAAAGAGTAAAACCTCTCTTTATGAGAACACAAAACTCCCCAATATGATAAACGGAAGCAAAGGCCAATCGGGTCTACTGAAAGTCATGCAAGACAATGGATGGGGCAAAAATGAGATGCTCTTCCCCAAAACTTTCGTACAGCTGCCTGAGGTAATGACTAAGTGATGAAGGGACTCTCCACAACCAGCCAGAGACATGCATCCAAGCTGTAGCCAGGATGCAGATGGAAGGGAGAGGGAAGCCGACTGAGAATTCCAGGCTAGGTCCAACAAGTCCAAACCTGTGACAGAGCAATTCATCAAAAATCAGAACCTGGTGAGCTGGGAAGAACCAGATCTAAGGCTTGCAGATACACTAACTGGATGGGATCCCAAACCAGCCAGTCATCAAGGTAGTTTAAGATACGAACCCCTCATGCTCAAAGGTGGCCAACAACTATCCTGCATCAACCTAATGAACATCCAGGGAGTCAAATTCAAGTTGAATGAGAGAACTTGGAAGCAAAAAAGCAGCCAAATTCATGCTAGCCCTGTGATCCTCCACAAGAACAGGCCCAAAAAGCAAAGGCAACTGAACATGCAGATGTACATGCCTACCCTGAGACAAGGACAGCATAAACAGGCAATCCTGAAGTGGCCCAAAGGAAACACTACCCAGGAATGCCTGAAAGACAGTACTTGCCTCACATCACTCGAGGCATCAGGTATGGCAAAAGCCATGCCAGTCTCTCGAGAAAAAGAGAGGGCTAGCAACAAACCATGGTGAATCAGGAACCTTATACTGCACCCAGAAAGAATTGGCAAAAGATGGGTCCATCAAGGAAGAGAGGTCTCAATCCTGAAGGAGAAACTGATGGATGACAATCTCTTATGTAATTAACTGGGACATAAAGAGCACTAGCAGGAATGAAGACCAAAATGACACTTTGACACAACGTACCAGGCAAAATAGCTAACACATCAGCTTGGGAGATCAAATTATTAATGGCATCCACTCGGTGGTGCACAGGTGTAACTAACGAGTTACACTAGTTACAAACACAGGTGTAACTAACGAGTTACACTAGTTACACCTGTGTTTCCCTCTGAGCTTCACACTCGGACAGATCATTTATTTCGATCTCATGTTTTCTATGTTTACCTTGCTGATTGTCTGTATTGTCTTGCTAACTTTTCTGGTGGATTTTTTTGGTCTGAGTGATCTAGTACCTCATTCTCACTGCACATCCTGAGAGGGAGCCAGGTTTTGGCCTTTGGTCATGGTAGACTTTCCAATAACTCACAAGGCCCTGTTGTGAATCAAACTGGTTGGAGCTATCCAGGTAGCTAGCAACAGAAAGCCACAGTAGAAGCCCCTCCTAGAAACAACAATACATCCCTAACCAATGACAACAGAGTACAAAACATGGCACGAGACAATGCAAAAACAAATACAAATTTTTTGTCAGCGAACTGTATTATTTACCGGTTCTGTGATGCCAGCCTGAGACTTTCCAAGAGCCTGACCCTGTGACCATCCCATTTTCTGCAGCATTGCATACCCTTTGTTGTTCTCTCTTAGAGCTCTGTTGAGAAATGTTTATGGAAGTGGGTATTAGTAACAACTTAATGACAAATATTAATTCTTACAAAATATAATTAACAATTAACCCATGGGTTGTGCACTAGAATTTCCATGACAACCGCATCTGTACACAAGAAAATTATCTGATTATTTTAATTTTACTTTTTAATATTAAAATGTATCTCCTGATCACGGGAAAATTAAACAAAAAAATTTATGTGACTTACTTTGATCATGTCGGAGGAAGGAAATTTCGTGAAGCTGTCATGATTCATGAGAATTCATGAAGCAATTGCCCATAGAAGTTTCCTGGCCAGGAGTGGGTTGGGAATTGCCATGAAGATATTTTTACATATTTATTTCATTATCATTGATTTGTTATTTCACTTTTTTTTTTTTTTGCAGTAATATTATTATTCAATAGTTTCCTCCATGTTGACCAGATGGAGGAAACACATCAGACCCAATTACCGGCACCACAGAGGACCCACCTAGGTGAAGCCCTGGCCCTACCCCTATAGGAAGGCCTAGCCTGAAGGCCTAGCCTTCCAGATACACAGCAGATCAGAAACAGGATGGCAACTCACCGAGGAAGGTGACAAGAACTGAGCAAAAATCTCAGGAAAGAGCAGAGGACAAAAAGGAGAAGTTGAAACACGAGCCAGGGTCCATGCTGAGTCCAAAGAATGAGTCAGCACAGCTTGTCGACACGAGAGAAGGGAGGTGAAAAACAAAGAAACTGCCTCCCGGAGGATTAGAGCATCTATATCTTAAGCATGACCGCTGATGCCAAAGCAGCGGGGACAAAAAATCCTGCAAAAGGAACCTTACAGAGTGCTCCCACAAACTCCAAAAGCCAATCAGAATACAGCTCCAAGAGTCTCAAGAATCGCACGATAGAAGCTAAGCGCACGCAGATATGAAAATTGGCAGCCACCGGTTATGGGGATAGTCGCAAGGCAGCCGATTGATGGGGAACCTAAGCATGCAACTGCACAAGACCAATATCACAGAAAAGGGCAGGTGTCAAGAGACTCGCACTGAGGGACTCCAGACAGCACCCCAGAAAAACTGCAACACATGAGACACTTCCCGCCAATCAAGAGTGCAGTTACGGCAAAAACTGCGCCAGGCCCCTAGCAAAAACAATGGACAGGCAGGATGACTCCGGAACATCGTAACACTCCCAATAAGGGGAAGAAGAGCCAAACTCAAAAGAGGTCAGATCCATAACTGAGGCGGAACCAGGTCACGCAGGAGGTAAGCATCAAGCATCTCTCAAGCCTCTGCTGGGGGGAAAACCTGGGAGCACGAGAACCTCCGGAAGGATGAATTCGGAGTGCCCAGGGGTACCAAGAAACGAAGCCTGGGGAAAGCCCCGCTTAACTCAAACTCATGCAAGGAAGGGGGGATAAGAAAACCCCCGGATTGACAACATCTTAGGTAATTACACCAATCCTCTTTCTCCTCTATATGTCACACATTCTTGACTTGTACAACCTGGAAGTCTTCAAGCCCAGTTCACTCTTATATTAACGTTTAGGCTTTATGCCAGGTAGTCAGTCAGCTCACTGAATATCATTAATGTCCTAGATATTTTCCAATGCAAATTTACAAACTCATATATTTAAATATAATTCATTAAAGATTTACCAAATATTGTATGCTGTTAAACTCAGATTTTTAAATATGGTAATGCACGACTTGAACGTTTACGTTACTAATCATTTTAATTCTGTACTTACGTGTCAGTTGATGCTACTTCCGTTTTTTCATATGGATTATCAGAACCAATTTCTTTCAACCGTTTCAAAGCTCGATCATTGTACTGTCCATCAATGGCAGACGGTTCACCTTTAGCTGCAACTGCATATTTTTTTCGAAGAGCTTTTAACTGCTTCTTCCTGGCCTTTTCTCGTGACCTGGCATCCTTGAAGGATGTTATGGTTCCTCCTGTTTCTGTTTCAAGTATTCACAAATTAAGGATATTAATAAGAACTTTAATTTCTTAGAATATACTGTACAGGAAATATACACAATAATAAATGACTAGAAATTTCATAAAGGAAAATAACAAAATAAGGTTTAATCAGAAAGATACCATTTCATAGCCAGCACATTCTGTCACAACCTAAGCTGTGGCAATATCCTTAAAAACACAATGATCAGAAATTTATCCTCATATCAGAAAATTAACAAGTTCTATCAATAATTCAATAATGTACCTTAGAAGTTAAAAGATTAATACAATATTATGGTACTGATGTTATTACTTAGTTCTATAGTGAAGTAATCTTCTGTTTCAATTATGACTTTAATTAATGGCAGCATCCATCCATAACAAAGCCAAAATAAAAAACCAGCATTGAATGTAATGAAACACCATTCTCTGGTTGAGACCCTGGAGGCTCCCTGGAGTTTATCGGGCTGATGTATGTTATATTAGACCGCGATATTAGCTAAGGAGTTCAGACCTACCAGGGACCAGCACCAGAACCTGGCCCCTTCAGAGAGGTTTCAGGGAGCGATGGCCCTGGAAAACCCCCTTGTGGATGGGGGTTTTCCTTATCTGCCATCGACCAGGGTTAGGCACCCAGAAAGGTAGGCATAACAAAACAAACCCCACATGGTAAAAAACTAAAACAGAAAACCGAACAGAGGTAGAAACTCCCTACAATTCCAAGGAAACAAGCAAACATCACACTTTACTGCCGCGCCAATCGTCCGCGCAGCCCTCCTCGCCCCGAGAGGGGGACGGGGGGGAGCCCCAAATCTCACCGCGCCGGATGCTTAGCATCAGTTCGGAAGCTAAGCTTCAAACAACACGAAAAAACCACCGACCGGTGTGAGGGAGGATTGCCAGGGAGCCTCAGGGGCTCACCCAGAGAATGGCGTTTCATTACATTCAACGCTGGTTTTCTGTGAGGAGCCTCTACGACTCCCTGGAGCTTAAACCTTACACTGCTCAGGGGTCCTGGGGACATTTACACCCCTGTGCGCAAGAAAAAAAAAATTCAAAATTTTTTTTTTGTCTTCTAAACATGTTAATTTGTGTCCCCTGAGCACGGGAAAAATAAAAAAAAAATCGTAGGTGACACATTTTGGGCGCAATTGACCGAGGAAGTCTGGCAAAAAGTGGGCGTTGACAGAGCGGTCGTCAGACCCAGTCAGCGTCACCCGCGCTGACAGGTGGGAGTTGCCACAAAGATATTATTACCTAATTGTTTCAATGTCTCCGATTGATTTTTTCTTGGTTTTTTTGCAGTAATATTATTCAATAGTGTGTATTGTAATAAATTTACATAATAAAAGTGGTGAATAATCGCTATACTCAAAAGTATAATGTGCATATTAGTGATTCAATTATTATGTTTATAAAACAATAAACAAATAGTTTTGCTGCTATTACACTCTATACACAGGTTATATATAAGTATCTGCATGTTTTGGTCACCATAACGAACCACTGAGTTGGTATTGAGTCGAAAAGCAACGAGGAGTTACCGCCACACATCAGCCAGCCACTCGCTGCCACTCCCTCAGCACACGCACTAAACTTTCTTCCCCAACAATACCAGTTGTGGTGTTATTACACTATATACAGACGTTAAATATAAGTATGTATATATTTTGTTCACCACAACTGTACAGCTAAGCTGATATAGTTAATTCAGGCACTAAGAGTCGTCGCTATACACAGATGGCGGCTGGCGGGGATCCCTCACTCATTCAAGGTCACACGCACTAAACTTTCTCCCCCAACAATACTGTTTGCAGTGTTATTACCCTATATACACATATTATATATAAGTATCTACATGTTTTATGCACCGTAACTGTACACCTAAGCTTGTAGTGCACCCAAAGAGCATAGTGGCCACCCTCTAAACAGATCGTGCAGACGACGTCACCTCCGTCACCCATATGGCTCCTCCCAGCATAATCCTTTTGCTGTTATTACACTAATACACACATTAGATATAAGTATCTACATTTGTGTTCACCATAGAGAACCACTGACCTGGTATGGTGAATGCAAACAATAACAGGTGGCCACACAGTCAGTAAACGATGCTGTCTCCCTCCGTCTCTCAGCATCACTCCTCCCACAGCGCTAATTATTACAACAATCCTGCTATTATCACAACCCTGGTTATTTATATCACAGTCATGGGTCATCTGTAATATTGTCATCGCTAAATAATAACAATTATATATATATTTTGACATTTTTCGGCGATGCTGTGGTCACAAGCTGAACAGCAATGCTGTTCGCTCATGCTGCGTGCGCCAGCCTTGGTTGCTCCAACAGTACTGTGCCTCTCACACCTGAGAATATTGCCCACAATTTAAAAAAAAATGGCGTCTGTTTACAAGAGCCCCGAGGAAGCTACTGTGAACCCCGTGTAGCCGCGGGCCATTTGAATCGGGCCTGGCACCCTATGGCGTATATATACGCCATGCGCACCGTGGGACATGTTACTCAGGGCGTATATATACGCCATGCGCAGTTTTAGGGTTAATACCCAAAGAGAAGGAAAAGAAAGGGCTGACCCGGGAGGCGGCTGCCACAAACTCCGCAATGCGAATCCGAGACAACAGGCTGCAACCTGTGACCCAAGGCAACACAAGAACGCACAGGAGCAGACACACGTGCAAAGACTGGGTGGCCAGGAACCTGTGCGACCCCCAAATCCTCGCGCCCAAAATGAGCCCTTGACATCACCAACACAGCAGCGAAAGCTGCAAACGTCCGAATGGCACGAGTGCAAGGATAGACCGCAGGGTGGTAGATTTAAAAACTCTGGTAGACTTGGGAGACCCAAGCCCTGAAACAGGGAACGAGGGGAACCGGATCAACCCAAAGCGCATCCCCAGTCAAGGTATGCGGGTAACGGCAAAGAGCCGCAACCGGACAACAGCACCCCCCGGCCGAACCAACCATCCATCAATAACCAAAGGACCCCTCCGGAAAGCAGCCGTCTCAACTGTCGCCAGAAGAATGGAGAAAGGCTACAAACGTACAAACCTACTACCAGTACCAAAACAGCAGAAACCCCTGCACCAGAAGAGAGCCAGAAGCTCCCTGACCCGACCCACAGAGGCCCATGTCAACAAAATATGGCCTATGAAAAAACCAGCGTTGAATGTAATGAAACGCCATTTTCTGGGTGAGCCCCGGAGGCTCCCTGGAGCTTATCGGGATAATGTATGTTATGTTAGACTGGGACATTAGCTAAGGAGTTCAGACCTACCAGGGACCAGCGCCAGAACCTGGCCCCTTCAGAGAGGTTTCAAGGAGCAATGGCCCTGGAAAACCCCATATGGTTGGGGGTTTTCCTTATCTGCCATCGACCGGGGTTAGGCACCCAGAAAGGTAGGCGTAACAAAACAAACCCCACATGGTAAGAAACTACAACAAAAACCGAACAGAGAGGTAGAAAACTCCCTACAATCCCCAGGAAACTAGCAAACAAGCAAACATCACACTTTACTGCCGCGCCGATCGTCCGCGCAGCCCTCCCCACCCCGAGAGGGGGAGGGGGTAGTCCCGGACCTACCGCGCCGGCTGCCAAGCTCCAGTTCGGAAGCTAAGCTTCAACCAACGCAAAAAAAACGCCGACCGGGGGGAGGGAGGGTTTCCAGGGAGCCTCCGGGGCTCACCCAGAAAATGGCGTTTCATTACATTCAACGCTGGTTTTCTGTGGGGAGCCCCTACGGCTCCCTGGAGCTTCATGCCCAAAGAGAAGGAAAAGAAAGGGCTAACCCGGGAGGCGGCCGCCACAAACTCTGCAACGCAAAGCCAAGACAACTGGTCGCAAACCTGCGACCCAAGGCATCAAGAACGCCCAAGAACAGACGCACATATGGATGGGCGGCCAAAAACCTGCGCAACCCACAAATCCCTGCGCCCGAAATGAGCCCGAGACGTCACCAACACAGCAGCAAAAGCTGCAAACGTCTGAACAGCACGGGCGCAAAGACAGACCGCAGGCTGGAAGAAGGAAAACACTGCGGACGACCTGGGAGACCCGAGCCCTGAAAACAGGGAACGAAGGAACCGGATCAACCACAGCGCATCCCCAGACACGGTACGCCGGCAACAGCAAAAAGCACAACCGGACAACACAGGACGCACCCCCCCGGCCAAACCAATCAAGTACCAATACCCCAAGAACCCCTCCGGAAAGCAGCCGTCTCGACCGTCGCCAGGACAGAGAAAGGCTGCACACCTATAAAGCTACCACCAGTACCAAAGAGCAGGAAACTGAACCGAAGGGGCTACCACAAACTGAAGGGAAGATAAGAAGGCACCCTGAACAAGGACCAGGATGGCTCAGGCGACGCATGAGCAGGCCGGAGGGGAAACAAAACACGAGAAAACGTAAGAAACGTCATACTGTCTCCAAGACGAAGCTCGCAGGTGGGACACCGTCAACAAAGCCACCTTAACACCATAGAGATGGTGATACCCGCGTCAAAATACCAGACGCGAAGAGCCAAGGAGAAGGTCGAACCAGTCACGGACAGGACCGATTCGGCCTGCCGAAAGAGGCGAAGCCTCAGGAAAAACGCCCCGGGTACGGACACCTATCAAGCAGCGTCTGAAAAGAAGGCCGGGCCGGCCACCATGGAACCATAAGGACTGTTCTCGTGGGAATGGGCTGCAACCGAGCCAGAACCCGAAGCAACAGCTGGACCGGGAGAAGAGGAACAGGTACCCCCCACCTCGACCAGTCCTGCCGAAAGCCTCCACCGGGAAGTCCTCGCAGGTGGGAAGGACGCCACAAAATGGGCGACGCCTAGACCACGCTGACCCGAAGACGGCCATGGCCAGGAGTCCATATGCCCGACAGAGCCAACAAAACGAATCGGCGACGACTGGCCAACCCACGAAGAGGAATGAACCGAGACAGCTGTCCGCCAGGACGCAGGACACACCCCGGACACGAACCACA